TTGGTTAATCTTTTATCCTGCTACATTACTGAACGTGTTTATGAGTTGTAGAAGTTCCTTGGTAGAATTTTTGTGGTTGCTTATGTAAACTATCATATCATCAGCAAACAGTGAGAGTCTGACTTCTTCTTTTCTGATTTGTATCCCCTTGATCTCCTTTGGTGTCTTATTGCTCTAGCTAGGACCTCAAGAACTATATTGAATAGATATGGAGAGAGTGGACAACCTTGTCTTGTTCCTGATTTCAGTGGGATCACTGGGAGTTTCTCTCCATTTAGTTTGATGTTGGCTGTTGAGTTGCTGTATATTGCCTTAATTATGTTTAAGTATGTTCCTTGTATCTCTGCTCTCTCCAAGACCTTTATCATGAAGGGATGTTGTATTTTGTCGAAAGCTTTTTCAGTATCTAATGAAATGATCATGTGGTTTTTATTTTTCAGTTTGTTTATATGTTTATTGATTATGTTGACAGATTTTCGTATGTTGAACCATCCCTGCATCTCTGAGATGAAGCCGACTTGATCATGGCAGATGATGGTTCTGATGTGTTCTTGGATTTGATTTGCCAATATTTTATTTAGAATTTTTGCATCAATGTTCATGAGTGAGATTGGTCTGTAATTCTCTTTCTTACTAATGTCTTCATGTGGTTTGGGTATCAGGGTAATTGTAGCCTCATAAAAAGAGTTTGGCAATATTCCTTCTGTTATTATTGCTTGGAACAATTTGAGGAGTATTGGTATTAGTTCTTCTTTGAAAATCTTGTAGAATTGAGCTGAAACCTTCTGGTTCTGGGCTGTTTTTTCGTTTGGAGACTTTTGATGACCATTTCTATTTCTTTAGCAGTTATAGGTTGTTTAATTTGCTTATCTAGTTTTGATTAATTTTGGTGATACTTATTCAGAAAATTGTCCATTTTCTTTAAGTGTTCCAATTTTGTGGCATTCAGGTTTTCGAAATATGACCTGATGTTATGTCCCCCTTTTCATTTCTGATTTTGTTAATTTGGATATTCTCTCTCTGCCTTTTAGTTAGTTTGGATAAAGTTTTGTCTAATTTGTTGATTTTCTCGAAGAACCAACTCTTTGTCTCATTGATTCTTTGCATTGTTTTCTTTGTTTCTATTTTATTATTCCATGCTGTATACTTCTCTTAGGTGAGCTTGCTTCTTTTTGTTCTAAAGTTTTCAAATGTTCTCTTAACTCACTAGTGTGGGATTTTTCCAGCGCCTTTATGTAGGCATTTATATCTATGAACTTAAAAGTTACCTAAAAGGTAAATGAATAAGCCAGGCACAGTAACTGACAGCTGTACCTCGGAAGGCTGGAGTCAAGAGAGAGAACTGCAAGTTTAAGACCAGCTTAGCTGTAGAATGAGATGTTCAAAACAAACAGGGTGGCAGAGATAGCTCATCGGTAAAACACACTTGCCAATAAGCCTGAAGTCCTGAGTTCAGCCCCTAAAATTCACACGATGGGAGGAATGACCCAACTTCTGAAAGCTCTCCACTGACTTCTATATACAAGCAGTGGGCGTGTGTGTGCCTGAAAACAGAAAAAAAAATGTAATCTATAATAAACAGCATTGCCTTCCCATCCCTGCCCCAGGTAAAAGTGTGGGCAGCTCTGCTGTACCAGTCATTTTTCCTTTTGTTTTTTGGTTTTTGAGACAGACAGCTGTTCTGAAACTCTCTCTACAGACCAGGCTGGTCTTGAACCCACACAGATCCAACTGCCTCTGCCTCCTACGTGCTGGGATTAAAGGTGTGCACCGCCATCGCCAGGCTCCACAGTCTTTTTCTTATCTTTCTTACTTCTCTAAGCTTTCTGATAAAGACAATCATGAACTCCAGATCTCAGGGTTAAGTTGTGCAACCAGCGAGGGGCTCAGTGTAAAGCAATGGAAATTGCGAAACAAGGAACCCAGCAAAAGTTGGTGATCATGTGTCAGGAACCGGCTGGTGCACATGACATGAGGTCTTCTGCGATGTCTTCACCCACATTTGTCCTTTCAGGAGTCTGAACTGCCTGACAATATCCAAGAACCCATGGGAGGCCGGGGGTGGGGGGCAAAAAAGTCTGCCACCATTACCATACTCCCCAAATTTCTTTGTGCTTCCTCGTGCCACACACTTTAATGTTTGTTTTGGAGGTTTTCGTCGGTTCTGGTATGTTTGGTCAGTCCTCACATCTTGCTGTTTTTTCTTTCAGTTGGCTCCATAGGTTGACCCCTCTCTCTGTGTTTATGGCCACACCTGATGCTGTTACTGATTCAGTCTCTGGATAATGATAGTGGCTGTCTATCTATATCAAATGTTATAACTAGATATGGCCCAAAGAGCTATGTTGGCCCTCTAGTGTCTCAAGTTTAAGTTAATTTCTACAGCTGTCAACACACAACCAGAGGCTGATATAATGTGTATTTCCAGTTTTTCTTGAAAGATGAGAAGGTCTGGCCATACCAGGTCCAAAGTTCCAGAGAGTCACAGCTCACCAGACGTGAGTTCTGGGAACCCCAATTTTAGAGGACGACGTCCCCTCTCCCAGCAAAGTTTGCCCTCAGGTTTAGGGACATCATTTAGTGGTTACTTACGATTGGTATATGGTTGAGAGATGGGGGAGAAATTTTATAGGCTCAGGGATCTTTTTTGAAGAAAAAAAAAAGGATAATTGGATGATGGGAATGTTTGTGAGTTATTGTTTTTAGACAATATATTGGTATCGATTCTTGTATATTGATACAAAGTTAAATTATATTATTATATGCATGTATGCTTCTACCTCTGTTTAAAACATTGTTTATGCATTGATATATGTATTTACCATGTTGCACTGTACATTACTACCTCTGATCAAGATACATTTCAAGGTCATTGTCTTCATTTATTGCACAGTTGTTTATTCTCTTAGTCTTTAAGTTAGATAGGTATTGAGAATTATAGATCAATAGTCATCTATGTTTGTCATATTTATAGTTAGGCTAACCAGGTTCTTTAGATACATAGAGATTATATTCAGTATAGATGGTATAATCTTCAACCTTTTCAAAGAGCTGTAGAAAATGGCCTTTAATCTAACCTAGAGTTCCATGGTAATGAGACACAATGGCTCCTGGCAACACCGATCTATTCTCGAGAGAATGTTGAACACCAAAGACACTCCACCTGGAGCCTTTCTTCTTGGCAGAGCTGGCCTTTGGGCAAAGAAATGCCCATACCTCACCCACTGACAGAGACACAGAGTATCTGTAAATGGATAAAACAGGACTATCATATCCTGCCAAGACAGGGTAAGATAGTTTTGAAAAGTTTCTTGCCTTTGAAAATGTCAGTGATGCTAGGCCTGAGCCAAAGTTGGTTGCTTCAGCATTGCAAATGAGACTTTGGGTGACTGCCCAGGTAGTCAGTTGTCTCTGTCATTTGTTGCACATTTTGGAAGTTTCTTGATTGCACTTCCTGTTTACTCAAGTAATATTGTTTCCCTTCTCAGATCTTTGATGGAGTTAAAGATTAGGTAATTGTAGTTACCCTCCTCATGATTTAGCCAAGCTTAATTTCAATACAATAGTTAGACTCCTTGAAATAGAATGTTTAGTAAAACTTTTGTTATGCGTTCCTTGCTTAAGATTGCTTATTGCTTGTAATTTTATATCGAGTATCTGTTCCTATTGTATATAGCTGTGTTGGGTTTGGATCGATCTTGTTTAGACAAAAGGGGAGATGATGGGGAAACTATCAACCAATCACATCTAGTTAGGGTGTGGCTACCTGTAGCCCAGGTAGCAAAACTGGTAGGACACAGGCGCAGGTGTGCTCTCTCTCTCTCTCTGCTCTGCGCGGTGCCCGCCAGACCGATTGGATTTTGGACATCCCACTCTTGTAGCGTGAGGTTTTCCTTTTCAACTCTTAAAAAAATAACTGTTATTCTTGAGCTGGTCTGGTTATTTACCGTACTGACCTAATTTGGCAACAGATGCCATGTAATTGCCAAAGGAGAAATACACCCAGAACTTTTACTGGTAAACCACAGCCTCATGGTGATACATAGATTAATAGAAATGTGTTAATTTAAGATGTAAGAGCTAGCTAGGAATATTCCTAAGCTATTAGCCAAACAGTGTTGTAATTAATATAGTTTCTGTGTGATTATTTGGGTCTGGGAGGCCAGGAAATGAAAGAGCAGCCTCCATCTACAGATTACTAAGCCTAGGACCTCACATGTCAGGTCGGTACTCAAGCACTGGGCCCTTTTGTAATGTTTTTGTTTTCTTTTTTTTTTTGTTGTTGTTGTTGTTTTTGTTTTTCTTTTTCTGAGACAGTGTTTCTCTGTGTTACAGCTCTGGCTATCCAAGAACTTGCTTTGTAGGCCAAGCTGGCCCCTAATTCATAGAGCTCCACCTGTCTCTGCCTCCCAAGTGCTAGGGTTAAAGGTGTGTGCCACCACTGCCTGGTTTACTTTTCAATTTTTTTTTTGAGACTGGGTTTCTCTGTAGCTTTGGAGCCTATTCTAGAACTCACTTTGTCACTTTGTTGACCACGCTAGCCTCAAACTCACAGAGATCCACCTGTCTCTGCCTCCTGAGTGTTGGGATTAAAGGCATGCACCACCGCCGCCCAGTTACTTTTCAATTTTTAAAAGTTTATGTGTACGGGTGTTTTTCCTTCATGGTGCACCACATGTATGCTTGGTCTAGAGAGGGTAGAAGAGAGCATAAATCCACTGGGACTAGTGGTACAGAGACTGTGAGCTGCCATGTGCATGTTGAGAATTGAACCCAGGACCTCTGGGAGGGAACCACTGTTCTTGACTTGTCCCATTATTAATTAATTAGTATAGGAGATAAGGTGTGGCCTTGACACATACAAGAAAACCAATCCTTGGTTGACACTATTTACCCAAGAATCTGCCTGATTTATTCAGGTTTCTAATCTCTCCTAATCTATTTCTAATCTAATAGACTAATTCTAATCTAATCTTAGTCCTAAACAAAGGCCACAGACAATGTGGTATGGAAATCAGTCTTAACCAGTCTTTTACAGGAGTCTCCCAAAGAACATCATTCTTCTGGCCCTGATTCGGAACAGCACACTCAGGTACCACGGCCCCTGTGTGGAGGTCAAAGGACAACCCGGAGCATTGACTCTGTTTCTCCAGCGTGTGGCTTAGGATTGAACTCAGGCCGTCAGGCTTAGTAACAAGTGCCTTTAGCCGCCAATCTCAAAGCTCTAAATAAATTTGGATTCTTGTTTGTTTTAGACTAGGTCTCATTATGTAGCCTGGGCTGACCTGGAGCCTTCTGAGTGCTGAGATTAAAGGTGTGCCGTCAATTTGTAAATTTTCATGAAGAGGAATAGATAGGAATTTTGGATTCTGTCCCTGCAACTTTGCTGTAAATTATTTCAAAAATGTAAAAAAAATTTTTAATGCTGTCTCCATCATTGCCCATGCACAAATTTCTCCAGCATACTCCGCCTTAGATGCAATGCATCCTCAACCTGACATCTCACACGATTTACATAGAACCACCGGCATTCTTATTAATTTTATCTATGCAACATCTTTCAAAATCTTAGTTTAGTGGCATTGCTATTCACAGTGTGGTCTGTAATCCCGCAGCCTCAGTTGTTCAGGGCAGGCGTGGTGGCGAATGTCTGTGAGTCTCAGCAATGGGGAGGCGGGAGGACTGCAGCAAATTTAAAGTCAATCTGGACTATATAGTGAGTTTAAGGCTAGCTTTGACCACTGGGTCAAGGAGACCCAGTGGAAAAAAAGAAAACGCATCCCAATCAGGATGTGCTGAACAAGAAACTAGTGGTGCGCGGCCTATGCATCCTTCAAGTGACTGCAAACTTTCTTTCCTTTCAGAGATGGGGTCCCATTACCCCATGCTGGCCTGGAATTCCCTAAGGTCCTCCTCTCCTCTCCACCTCTCTGACTCCAGCGCTCAGTGCCTCCCCAGGACACACCCATCTCGGTCCCCGGACGGGGGAGGGCTGCCGGACGGGGCGGGCCACGGCCGGCGTCCCCGCCTCCCTTCCCGGGCCTGCCGCGTCGCCCGTCCTCCGCTCCCGGCTCGGGTC